TGCTTCACCGTCTCCTCCAGCTCGGCAATCTGGGTCTGCACCGTGTCCTGGCTGCTCAGGATGTAGGCGAGGCTCTTCGTCAGCTTCTCCTGCGGGAAGGTGATGAGACACGGTGCCGGCAGCCCCCAGCTCGCCCCRCACCCCCCGTCTGCGGCGGTGCCCCCGATTCCCCGCAGAGCCCCGGCAGCCCTTACTTACCCTGAGKGCCTGGTAGGCGCTGAGCACCGGGGTGATCTTGTGGCTGGTGTGGGTGCGGCGCACGCGGCAGAGCTGGCACACCAGCCGCTGGCAGGTCTTGCAGTAGTGAGTCACCTCCTCTTTGTGCTCCGGGCACATCAGCCCCTGCGCGGGCACAGCGGGGCTCAGAGGGGCTCAGMGGGGCTCCACACCCCCCTGCCCCGCTGCAGGGTCCCACCCTCGCACCCCCAAATCTTGGAATCGTGGAATGGTTTGGGTTGGAAGAGSATCTTRRAGATCATCTTCTTCCAASCYCCCTGATGTGAGCAGGGGCATCCTCAACTACCCCCTGTCGCTCAGAATCCCACCCTGGGGCCCTTGAACACCTCCAGGGATGGRGCATTCACAAMTTCCACAGGCAACTCSTTCCACTACCACACCACYCTCACTACAARAATTTTTTCCTGATATCCAACCTAAACCTATTTTCTTTCMGTTTGACCCATTCCCCCTTGCCCTGTCACTCCAGGCTCTTGTAAACAGCCTTGMYCCATCTTCCCTATAAGTTCCATTCAGGTACTGGAAKGCCACAACCCCAAAGTTTCCCTTCTCCGGGCYRAACAATCCCAATTATCTCAGCCTTAATCCCCCATCAGGTACAGCAGGACCCACAGGGCGGCCATACCTTGGGGCGGAAGGTGAGGGTGGGGGGCGTGGGCTCGTGCTGGGCTTTCTGGGTGCCCCAGGGGTGGTAAAGCTTGAAGCACTCGTTACAGAAACTGGACTTGCACTCGGTGCAGCCCTTGGTGGCCTCCAGCTGCGGGGGCTTGCAGAACTGGCACATGATGGCCGCGCTGATGTTGATGGTCTGCCKGTAGCGCTCCACCACCCGCTCCAGCGTCAGGTTGCGGAAAAGGCTGCCCAGGCCCCGCTCGCCCAGGTCCACGTCCCGCTGGCAGGCGGGGCACGGGAAGCTGACGGTCTGGGGGTGTACAGCACCCCGTTTGCGCCCCGGGTAGGTGCCGAAGCCTGTGGGGAGGGAGGCAGGGAGGGGGTCAGCAGGCCATGGGGTCCCGTGGGGGAGCTGAGGGCACTGTCCCCATCCCCATCCCTATCCCCATCCCCAACCCCCCTCCCCTCTATTGCTCCTGTTCCCTCTGCCATCCCCTCCAGCCATGTCTGTCCTCTCTGCTGTCCCCATCTCCTCCAGCCATCTCCATCCCCTCCAGCTATCCATCCCTGCCCCTCTAGCAATCCCTCTCTTCTCCAGCCACCCCTCCCTGTCCCCTCCAGCTGTCCTTTTCTCCTCCAGCCATCCCTGTCCTTGTCCACACCAGCCACTCTCATTGTCTGCAGCCATCCCCTACCCTTCTGTTCTTCCCATC